CTAGATCTTTTTAATCTGTATACAAGTTATTCCAATTTATCTGATTTGTTCGGTTCTGTTTTTTGCTGTGTCTTCCGTGTCATTTTTGCGTGTTTGCTTTCCCACAAATTCTATGTTAGTTGTTTGTTATCCCCGATGTGTGTGCGCTTGATGGGAATGTTGACAAGGTGCCTACCTGTCTAAAACCCTCCACCTCGATTACTGGCTCCAGGAGACTGAATGGTTGCTGGGGGGAGGGTGCACAGTCCTCGTGGACCGGACTACAGCCCAGCCACCGTCTTGTGTATGTCTAGTACGCATGATTCCCTACATAGGTAGACAGGAATTCTGCTGCTGTGCATGTTGAAAGAGTGTGTGCCGTGTTAGATCTTCCCCTTTTCGCTATTTCGAATTAACCACCCAGGAATTTCTCCGCAGCAATTCTAGCCCAGCCGAAGAAAAATCAGAATTCCAACAGCCTTGACCACGAAAAACGTGTTAACAAACACTCTGCCAACGTAGCCAGAAAATGCCGTCGAAAACACTGTCCTCTCAACTCTGAGGCAAAAGTCCAATTAGCCGGGTGTTTGAAAACGCATTCGTCCGCTCGATCGATTGCCTGATCGACCGCACGGGATAGGCGATTCTCTTTAGCCCAGCTTTCAGTCACCATTATATACATTCCCTTTTTTCTTTTATGTTTTTATCTGATTCCCGGATACCTCCCCTCCTGAAGCTGTTGCCGTTGTGTATGAAGCTAGCCGGGGATTAACCTGGAGCCTCCTGGAAGGGATTCTTCGCCTACCGGTGCATCGCCTTGGCTGTAGTGTTCTGGATTCGAATTCCGTACTCTGCGGTCTGGTACTATTCGTCTGATGACAGGGTTCTTCTACTGGCTCTGTAGGCAAGTTGAAGCTGTCTGTCAACAGGTCAAATGGAAGCTTGGCGGATTCTATTGCTTGTGGCTGGCACATTGTTGTTCGCAGTTGGTTTGCATGGCGTACCCATACCTGCGTTCCAACCAGCACGTCGTAAATGACGCTTCCGCGCTTGCACTGGATCGTGCCTGGCGTCCATTTCGCGTGTCCACCCCGATAATCACGCACAAGTACTGGCTGACCCGGTCTAAACGAACGTTGCTTGGCACCAAAACGCCGATTAAAATCACGTTCCATCTTTAGGTTCCTTTCACCAGCTATGGACTCTGAGGATGACCGAACTGCATCATATGGCATGCGAAGTTTTCTCTTCATCATTGCCTCTGCTGGTGATATTCCACCCGGTGTTTGTGGATTTTGTGTAGATCGGTACAGAAATAGGGAGCGGTCGATCACCTCCTCTATGTCTCCCTCCCTCCTTGATTTGAGGAGAGCGCGTTTGAATGTATCCACAAACCTCTCTGCTTGGCCATTCGATTGTGGGTGGAATGGTGGAGACCGCACGTGTTTGATGGCGCAACGTTGGCAGAATTCCGTGAATGTGGCCGAAGTAAACTGTGATCCATTGTCCGTCATCAATGTTTCAGGGCAGCCGAACCTGCTGAAGATTTGTCGCAACCTAGAGACGGTTGCGCTGGTTTTCGTGCTTCTCATGAGGAACACTTCGGGCCACTTGCTATAAACGTCGACCACTATGAGAAAGTTCTGGCCATTGATTGGGCCTGCAAAGTCTACATGAACACGACTCCAAGGTTTAGTTGGTTTAGGCCATGAGCGGAGTTCAGTCTTTGGCGGTGCCCTTGAGGCGGTAGCGTAGTTGCCACAACTTTTAGCTAGCTGCTCTAGCTTTCTGGTCATTTCTTCTGTCGACGATGATGAATGTACTGGGTCGGTTTGTACTGTATTGCAAATCTGACTCATGGGAACATCAAACAGTTGTAATTTTTCCATCCAGTCAAGTCCAAGGAGGTTCAAGTTTGGTCGATCAGACAAGTAGCAGGTTCCGGCCTTTTCCACTCCGTTGAATGCAATTTTGCAATTTATTTCTCCGACCAACTTCAGCACTCCACCGGATGCATTGTTAGCGATTTTGTTGGAATCAATCATTTTCGGTTTCTTTATGTGCTTTCAAGTGTTCTTGGAAATGATCGTTATATCTGATGCCGTATCGAACTGCAGCCGGGTTGGGATTCCGTTGATAAGCACAGTGATAAATCGGCGGCGTGTTTTAGAATCGCTGTGAAATGTAGCAATCACCGATAGTGATTCTGCGTCAGGTTTTCTGAAATTCTCCCTTCGGTAGGACTGCTTCACATTTCTTGGCCGGGACTGATGGCAAAAGTCTTCTTGTGGCCGCGTTTATGGCACTTATCACAAATATGACGCTTGAACGGACAGTATCGTGCGAAATGCCATTCACCACATGACCAACAAGGTGTAGGCGGCTTGTTCGGCTTTCCGTTGAACGACTTATTCGAGCCAGATTTTCTTGCTTTTTGCACAGCATGAACAGTATCGGCAATGGTGGGGCGACTCTGCTCAATCATAGCCGTGTCGTGTTTCAAGGTAATTAAACGTTTGCATTCGCCTACAAGAGACTTCAATGTCAAATCTGGATCTTGATCCAAATTAGCAAGGAGCCGAGTGCGGATTTCCGCGTCGCGTGGAGACTGTAAAGCACTGACAAATATAAGACACTTAAACTGGTCATCCGTCAAACAGCGTAATTTGAAACGTTCACATTCGCGGTTAACCATGTCTGCTAGTGCCCCATAATCGTCTGTATCACGCATTACAATTTTTAGACATTGATAGCGAATGCTAAACAATGATGTTGACTCACCAAAAATTTCTTTGAGTGTTGCCACTGCTTCGTTGAAAGTGATGTCCTTCGGCTCTTTGGGCAATATGTGGTCAAGGAATCTTGTATGTTCATTAGTTCCCAGCTTGCGGAGCAAAAGGCGCACATTCCATGAATCATCTTGACGGCTGAAATCCGTCTGGAACATATCCTCCCAACGTTTGAACCACGCCTCGAAAGTGGATTCGGAATCAGCATCATAATGAAATTCAGTGATTGAATTCGTAAGAAGATCAAGTGAAACAGCCTGCGTGTCCCGTGTAGCTGCTCCGTTTGATTGTACGTTTAAGCACTGCGTTAAACTTTCAATCAGTTTCATTTGTGCTTCCATCTGGGATTGTTGCTGAAGAAGCAGCTTTTGAAAATGTTCGGCAGAAAAATTTGTAACATTTCCGTGCTTGTCCGTCGCCATTGTTAGATCTCCCCCTTTTCGCTATTCCGAATTAACCACCCAGGAATTTCTCCGCAGCAATTCTAGCCCAGCCGAAGAAAAATCAAAATTCCAACAGCCTTGACCACGAAAAACGTGTTAACAAAAACTCTGCCAACGTAGCCAGAAAATGCCGTCGAAAACACTGTCCTCTCAACTCTGAGGCAAAAGTCCAATTAGCCGGGTGTTTGAAAACGCATTCGTCCGCTCGATCGATTGCCTGATCGACCGCACGGGATAGGCGATTCTCTTTAGCCCAGCTTTCAGTCACCATTATATACTTTCCCCTTTTTCTTTTATGTTTTTATCTGATTCCCGGATATGCCGGTTCCGTTGATGAAACGTGGATCGTATCCACATGCCTCCTGATCTTATTCCTTCGGGTTTACATTAGATATGGGCGCTTTGTAAGTGGTGCAGCGCAAGCTGATCATGGCCCTTCTTTAGATACAGGCGTCCCTTGGCTGTCGTATGGAGGCCACAGTGACAGGCAGATCGGGAATCGGATGCCGCCAACTATATAGCCCTTTATGACTGGACGTCGTTGTAACGCCGTCAACCGTATAGCAGAAGCTCGAGGTGCTTTTGCCAATCTCCTCCACCTGTGGCGCAGACGCGACATCTCTCGCCCTGAAGGGTAGCGTGCATAATGCAGCCGTCCATTCAACGTCCTTATATAGTTGTGAAATCTGGCCCATCTGGTCGACAGACATAATGAAGCTGGTCACGTTCGATCACAGCTTAGCTCATGTCTGGTGAGAGCACCGCGTGAGCACTGAGCGTGTTCGGCGTCGCGTATTTGGTGCAGGAATGGCGAGTGAACCGCTCAGCATCATTATATCACGCACCAGGCTCCGATGGCTAGGCCACGGGTTGCGCGTGCCAGCACACCGACTCCCGCGATGTGCATTGTTTGTGCGCCGTGGGTGCGGTTGTAAGAGGAAGAGGGGGAGCCAAGCGATGACACTTCGAAGTCGGCGTCAGTTGGTGCATCCCGACTGCCTGGCTGGGGTCCTAAGGACGATGAACGCGTGTGGTTGGACACATTTGCTGATATGGCTAGGAACCGGCCTCAATGGTGTTTTTGTTGTGTGTTCCTTTGTCCACCTCTCTCCTGCTTAGCCTCCCCCTCCAATCGCGATCTCACTTGTTAGGCATAATATGACTCTTTTTACGGCACGATAGTCAGCTGTTAGCTCTTCAGAACGATGTCCACCCGTTACTAAGGTCTCAGCCGGTGTGCTACTGTTGTATATTTTTCTTCTTGTTTTTGTATTGCAGCGCAGTCGCTGAGGTGTTTTCCACCTGTAGCTAACGTGTATAATAATGATGATGCCCTCAATCAGTGCGCTCAGTTTCACTTTCTGTACTTCATTACTTAACATTGCCACAGGAATATCGATAGAATATGTACAAACTGAATTTGTATATCACATTGGTCCAAGAAAGCGGCATACGAGTGAGGGCTTTTATTTCCACTTTTTATTCTTTTCTTCCCCACAACCTCTCTCAGATTACTTTGCGTGCGTACACTTGATTCCCATTTCATACCATCGATATACGGCGCGCAGTTAAATCGGTAGACGCTTAAACTGACGAATCACTTATCCTTTGATCTTTTTAATTTTCACTGCAACCATCCTACGGGATTTGTAAAGTACATGCGTTTTTACTCGTGATAAATCGTTGTTTTACGCGCACGCCACCTCTCCTTGGTGATGGCATTCCATGCTGTATTTTACACGGTTTACCCTAGTGCTCACCTTCACCTTCCTGTTTGCGCATATTTTAGTCGATGTGTCAAAATGGTGAAAGGTCTGGGTCTGCCCATGTTGGTACTCGGTGGAGGGGGCTACACGGTACGCAATGTGGCTCGGTGTTGGGCCTATGAGACCGCTGTATTGCTGGATCAAGAGGAGCAAATCTCAAACGAATTGCCCTACTCCCCGTACATTGAGTTTTTCAGTCCGGACTACACTCTGCATCCGGATTTGACCACTAAATTGGACAACGCGAACACAAAACAGGTTAGTTCCCGCTGGTTAGCCCGCAGAACAACGGCACTTTGAGATAGTTGTACGTTGATGCAGCGAACGCATTCATGTGTTTACATTCCATCGATGGAGCGCGCGACCCCACAATGCGATGTGCATCGAGTTGTGTACCGCAGGTAGGTCATTGAACCCAATACCGGGGTGTATTGGATGTGATCATCGTGACTTGCGATGCTATGATGGCGAAAAGTGCGTAAAAATCCGCAGAGAAGCACACTATACTTCTGACGACTTGCGATTGTTGTGACACTGTTGACGCGATTTAGCTCGTGGTGGCACTCAATCTTTAGCCTCCTGAGGACGTTGAAGACCTTAGACATGGAAACGCGGATCCCGCTACTGTAGCTGCACCAATGTCCTCGGACTGCCGTTCAACGGCCTCTTCGACGCGCTACAGGACATCAGGAGTCAGCTTCTTCCTCTTGTTTCCTCCACGTTGGTACCTTCTCGCCTTAGACATTGCTGTTTCTTGACGTACTCTCGTTGACATCAGTGATTTCAGTAGCAGTCTACGAACACAAGTATGGCAAAGATCGCTTACTGTCCCAATGACGTTCTCTTGCACCGTCGCTGCCTCGGAGGTGCATCCTCTCGTCAATTCTCGTTCATTTTTGTCGTTTCGTGCTCCACGAGGCTAATAAAGTTAGGAGTAATAACAGTCTACATTGTTCCAATAGTCGTGCAGCTGCATAGGTTCGCCAACCCACCCATACGGAACACGCGAACGCCCATAGACAGACAAGGGAAAACTGGGTCGCTGCCCTTGATCGATGCTCAAGATCAAGAGTTCGGTTGCGTTAGCATGACCACAATGTGGTCTGAACATTGTCCAGCCGCTTCCTCCTCATTTCTTGCTAACAAATTGCTGATTTTCTGCTTGGAATGCAATGTGTCCGATTTGGTTTACAAAACGTCCAATTTAAATCGAAAATGGGATATATATATCACCAAAGAAGTAGACATATAACAATCAAAAAGCATGGAATTAGAAAGAAAGTACATTTGAAATGAAAGAGTCCTTACGAGATCGCATAGGCCCTATCCGTGTAAGCAACACCTCTGCTTACTCACCGTTGACGCAGACTCTCGTATCCATGTGAACTCACATACCTCTCAGCACATCTCCGCTTACAGCCCATACTCATGTGAATCCACATGTTCTGCTACACCACCGCTTCCTTACGTTTGACGATGACACTGTCCTATGTGAAGGCCTCAGCATCTAATCGAAGCTGTGCAGCTATGTACTCGCCTTTGTCGGGCCTGGTTTCTCTTCTTCTTGGGTTTCGATGTGTCACTGGTAATCATCCCGGTCGCGCGAGCGGAAAAGAATTCCAAGAGAACCGTGCCGTTCGCTTCGGAGGTAGAACTCGCGGCGAACGTGTTGTTCGTTTCGACTAAGCGAGATATTACAACTAGATGGTTACCAGACCAACACGACAATAGCAGTGACCCAACAATAAATAATAACAATAAAAATAATAATAATGTTTCAGCTGTGCGCCGTAACGGCGCTTCGCTGCCACGCGACCATCACCAGTAGCGCGCGGGCTGAGTATACCGCGAGGACGCCCACCCCTACGCGGATTCGAACCGGTGACCTCATGGTTGCAAACCAAACACTCAGACGACTCGGCCATCGGCCGGCTGGTTCTAAGAGGTAGAGTAATGTGCAAGATAGAACTCACGACTAGATTTGCAACGTAAGGTTAGCAGGCGGAAACTGGTAACCGTAACAGTAATGTCAATATTAGACTGAAAAAGATTGACCTTGAGAGTAGCGCATGCATACTGCTGTAAATCTGGCTCTTTATCGAGATGGACACGTCTGGACAGTAACACAAGTGCATCGGATTAAAAACGCCGACGGGCTTCAAGTGTGCAGAGCGAAACTTTTTCGACAGTGCCACCAGCAGGAATGACTCTCAAAGTAGACGAAACAATTTGGCTGTTCGAGTTTTGCAACTGCAAAATGTGGGCTGATTATGGAAATATACTTCACACTTCGATGGGGCAAAGCACATTTCAGGTAAATTCTGCAGTCGCCAACCCGTACATAATGAGTTGCGTACTCTGGGTTCTCACCGAGTAAGTTGATAGCATCAGCATAATTTACCCGACGACCTTCCATCTGCTGAAAGATGTAGATGATTATTTGATGATGACTGGACTTGCCACTGTTCGAAACGATTTGGGACATTGAAGAGGTGTCTTCCAACTGCCGACTACCATGCACGTCATCAAGAAGTGTCAGCGCACTTTGTGCGAAAACTATGGAGGCACTAGCCTTATTTCCATTGCTTCCAAACTTCTCACTGGTATCATTCTTCGACGATTTACTGGTCCCCGTGTGTATCAAATTACTGAAAGTCAGGCTGGCTTCCATCCTGGTCGTGGTTGTATCGACCACATATTTACTCTTCGTCAAGTATTAGAGTAGAGACACATCTACAGATAACCGACTAGTGGTTTTCAACGATTTAAAAGACGCCGCCGACTCTGTTGACCGCACCAGCTTGTGGCACTGCCTAACCATGAAGGCCGTGCCGGATAAATTCCTTTCCATTCTGAAATTTCTCTACTGCGACTTTTGAGGTCGAGTAAGGGTTTACCGGAATGTCTCCTGAGTCCCCCACGACTACCACTAGTAATGGGATCTGCCAGTCTTGCCCTATATCTGCTTTCCTTTTCAACGTTGTGACCGAAATAGTCATGAATGACTCCTCTTTCGGAGTCAGATTTCTGCCAAGGAACCGACTGATAAACCTTAAGTATGCGGATGACAGCCCTCTCTGTATCTGACGCAGTGGCTTTGCAGTCTAATAATAATATATTATTACTACTACTACTAACAATAATAATACGTATACTTCTCCTGAGGCGAAAAACTGTGTTTGTAGCGGCACAGATGAATTTGTACAAAAGTATCCATGCTCTTGCGTGGGAGATATGCATAGGTGGAACAATTGGGTATACGTTTCATGTAGTGGATGATTGAGGCAAAAGCCTAGTTTTGAAAACATTAGCGTTCAAATGTTTCTTCGGAATAACTCATCGAGGGATTTTCCCACGTAAATAGTAATTATGATATTTAGATCAAGGTAATTGGAGAATCTGCTTCTAATTGTTGCCACATGACCTGAGTGTGATTGGTAGTTTATTCCACTGATAGCGTTTATCTGAACTTAGAGCGAACGTTTGTTTTAGCCTTCAGTAAATTCGCTGTAAAATCTTTATTACGAAGCTTTCGAGTTGAGCTATGTTGTAGTTCGAGTGTAGGTAGATCGAGATAGGTCTTTTTGTGTGGCAGGTTAAAAAGCAACAACAAGCTGTGCTTCAACCGCCGAATCCAAAGGGGTTCGTATTGAAGTTCATTGCAACCTTTTCGATAACTCATAGCAGAGGGTTTACTAATCAGATTTTTAGTAAATCACCTCTACAGATGCTCCACAGCAGTTCTGTCACTCCTTCTCATATTGTCATATATTATGCTGCAGTATTCAAGAATGGGGCGGGTGTAGGTTAAAATGCTCAACTCTAGCATGGGTTGTGTGGATTTTGTTGGATAGACTGACGCGTAGCGCTGCATGATTCCGCATGTGCCTTGCGCCTTCCAAATGCCAAGTACTGCCGCAGGGCTGGACCAACACTCCTCCGGTTCTAGCTATCACCGAACAGTCTCTGGAAGTGGTGGATCGGTTCTCTTAACTTGGTAACTGTGGTGGTGACATCACCGAGGAACTTACTTCGTGTATCAGTAAGGCTCATGTGACTTTCCGGATACTCAACCATCTACAGAGACGGCGGGATATCAGTCTGTGAGTGAAAGATAGGGTGCACAACGCTGCGGTAATGCCGGTGTTACTGTACGGATCAGAGATCTACCCAGTTCGCGGCAAAGACATTAAACACTTGTCCATGTTTGATCAACAGTGCTTACGTATTGATCAGATTGAGTGATCAAGAAGCCTTCTGGTGCCTCGTTCGAGTGTTTGCTAAAGCGCAACCGCTTACTTCATTTAAGCGGAAAGAAGACATAGATTGCGACAAGTCGAAATTTTAATTGTTCTCATCAATCGCATACACAATACAAGCATAACACTTACACTTGTTGCAACCCGGTGTTAAAAGAATGGGCACATTTCCAGAATCTATGTATTTGACCAAGTTGGACTACAGGCCTGAAGTTGGACAACCGTACTGCGTCAGCCCATGATGCCGAATGCGAACGCTGCTCTGGCTATGACGGAGTGTTCAATACAGTGATCGATAGCGGTTGATCGATGATCATTGTGGTTGGGTTAGTTAGGATTGTTCTAACCATAACAACACTTACATGGGAAAAATTGGCACACCAATCAAAATGTCATAATCAGAACAAAAGCAGTCTAATTGATTGCGTCCAGATAGAGAACGGCATACAAGCAGCTCACTGAGATCAATTTTGGCAGATATCTTTATCGGTATGTTCGGAATGAAATTGCTGCGAATATTGATGAAGCGAAACTGTACAAACGATATGTGATGACATCCTGGTATTCATCAGGAGCGAACTTTTTACGCGGTGTAAACCACTCTGTATTAAATTCACCCACGTTATCGGCGTCATTGTTAGATATCCTCACTAAAAGAGAAGACGTAGGCACATTGCAATGCGCCGTTTACCGTGAGGAGACATGGAATGAACAGTAACTTCACTTATCCAGTTTCTCCCCGTTTGCATACAAACGCGGTCTAGTAAGAACGCTCTTCTACAGGGCCAGACGAATTTGCAGTCCGAAATTGTTGGAGACCGTAGGGAAGTTTCCGAAGAAAGCCTTAGTGTTGAATGGTTATCCCGAGAAGTTCATCCAAGTTCATAGCAGACTCCCCAAAAAGAAACCGCCAGTGTAACGGCTGAGAAAAATCTGTCTGTATGGTTATGCCCTTCAAAGGGACTATGTGGCAAATGATATCGGACACCTGCTCAGGTT